CATCAGCCATGTGCGGAGCTCTGGACCTGGGATGGTCCTTGAGAGTTGTCCCAAGTTACAGAGATGGCTGGGGCCTTTACACCACTACACTGATCAATCATTGGAAGGGGGAGTTATGCCTTTAAAGGCATGTCCAGGAAAATGGCAGTATGAGGAGCTCCATGGACTTGCTCCCCAGTGAAACAACTACAGTTGGCAAGAATTAAAAAAAATATATCCCATTTAAAGTTTCTTGAAATTGGCTGAAGAGAATACAGCAGATGAAGAAAATTTTATTCAAGAAAGTATATTAAATCTTGGTAAGAATAACAAGACTTAGTGACACCACCTGCGCCATGACTTGCTGCCTCCCCTATCCTGCTCAGTATGACGAAAGCTCAACTCCAGGTGGATGTGGACAAGAAAGGGTTCCCTCTACCCCTCTGTCCCAGTAAAAGGCTATGGTACCTCTCTGGGAGGGCCAGGCTGCCAGCACTTCTTATCCTCTTTAACTTCATGTTGCAAAGGCTAAATTCCAGGTAAGTACAGCCTGAAGATTGGAGACATTGGGAACTCCTTTCTTCCTTTCAGACACTATTCATAGGACAGGCTCTATTCCAGGTGCAGCAGGCCAAGAGTGCTCAGATCCCAGTGGCTTTCATCCCCACTCTCATGTAAGCTGGGAGTTCCATGCCAGCAGAGGCAGCCTGAGAAGGAAGAGACTATAGCCCCTCCACACCCCCACCATGGCCCTGCTCCTAAAGCAGAGGTATCATTCTGAGAGAAGTGGGCCCCTGTCCCCATCCCCAGCTCCACAGCAGTCGCTCAGAGATTTCTCCCAGGGGGAGAGAAAGTCCATTAGAACAGAGAACTCTGACGCTCTCCCCACAGGAATGGACTTTATTTGGAAGAGTGTGAGAAGATTCAAACCCAAAGGTGCTCTTGAAAACAATGGATATTCTCATGATAAGTTATTAAGAGGAGGCTGGTAGCTCCATGGCAGCAAGAAGTTAAACTGCAGACCAATGAGTTTGGCGGGGCGGGGCGGGAGAGGGGGGCGGAGAGTGGTGGGGGGAAGCCAAGGAAAGAGACAACTAGGAGAAGCCCTCTTGGGATCTGAACAAGCCTCAAAGCCTATCTCTGCAAAGGAGCTGAAATGTAATTGTATTAGACTGTGTCCCCAGGATACTGTCAAGAGCAAGGGAGCAATCAATAGGCAGTTACTGGAGCCCAATGGCTGGGTGTAATAACAACAGAGTCAGGCTCTTTAATGGAGAGATCTGGAAAAGAGACAGCCAAAGAAAGCCTTGCTAAAACCACTCTCATCCTAGGTAACCGTGTGCAAAGTTACCTGGGATGTACCCTCTGAGTAGCTACTTAAAGAGTCTTCACTTCTTGGGTGAAATGGACCTCACTAAAATAGTCCAGTCAGGTCACTAAACAAATAAACAAGGAAACAAAAAAAACCAACCAGCCCCATGGGAAAGGGGGAGCAATCAGTATTCAGAATCGCTACAATAAATTATATGTACTAGCAGTAAATATTTTCATATCTTAACAGGTACAGAGCCATATAATTGTGTATTGGCTTCAATTAGGCCCGCACATTTGATATGGCACAGAAGTGACTTTTTTATTTTTTATTCTTTAAAGATTTACTTATTTATTTATTTGACAGAGAGAGATCACAAATAGGCAGAGAGGCAGGCAGAGAGAGGGGGAGGGGAGCAGGCTCCCTGCTGAGCAGAGAGCCAGATGCGGGGCTCCATCCCAGGACCCTGGGATCATGATCTGAGCGGAAGACAGAGGCTTAACCCAGAGCCACTCAGGTGCCCCTGGAAGTGACTTTTTAGATCATTAGGGAAAGGATGGACTATTCAATCGGAGGTGCTAGAAAATTACACATTTGGAAAATACATATACATACATATATATGGTTATATGCAAAAAAGTGAAATTGGATCCTTAACTCATACCACACATAGAAATAATTTTTAGATAGATACAGTGAATCCAAAGTGAAAGGCAATACTTTTAGACTTTTGGAATAAACTTGTAGCAGCAATGTTGGCAGTTCAACAAAGATTATGCACCTCTTCCATAGATTGGAGTTGTCGTGGGGAAGAGGTTGCCCAGTTAGGGATGTTTCCCAGGTCTCTCTGCCTCGGGGGAGGACTATGTGAGAGACTTTTGGATAATAGGATATGGACTGAAATAGCACACCAGTGCTTCTTAAACTGTCTGTAGTAATGGACAATTTGTCTCCAATTTATTATGGATCAATACTTTTGTAAACGAAAACAAATAAATTACCAGAAAATTGATATTTTAAAAAGTCAGACCAAATGCAAGCCCGTTTTTTATTATTAGATTGAACAGACATAAAATTATATTGCCAGGTTGCTGTTAAAAGTTTACAAGTATTCTTAATTTTTGTACTACTGAGTAAAATTTTGTACTACTGAGCAATAAATAGTTCGTGGACCAGCAGAGATTAGCAGACCACCCACTAAGTGTACACCACTTTTGACGTGGCTCATAACAATCTCTCATGCAATATTTTACATTCTTTCTTCCCCTACGTTCAGGGTAGCTTTAAAAATCAATGGCTGAAGACCTCAGAGGCTTTAGCAGTCTGGTTCCCTGGATGACTTCTCAGAGCAGAACACTTTCCGTCCCATCTTGCCATCAATTGAACCTAACATGAAAAGAAAAAAATTCTTTTGTGTTAAGCTACCGAGCATTTAAGTTTATTAAGTCACAGTACTGGCATTAGCTTAGCTAATAATGAAATATAGGGAACATATTTATAGACAAAAACCCTTATTCGAAAAGATTTTTTAAATTGACTACACTAGAAATAAGAGTCTCTGTACATCAAAAATCACCATAAAGTAAACAAAAATAAATCAGACTGGGGAAAGATATTTATAATACATATAATATACACCAATTTTGTATTCAGATATAAGGTGATCCTACCAATCAATACGAAAAAGGTGAACAACCCAGCTGAAACATGGGTAAAATATATGAACAGGCATTTCACAGTAGAGGAAATAGGAAAAAAAAATTAGAATTTAAGAAGATGCACAACTATGTTAAGACCACAATTAGATATCAAATTTCTGATATGATATGGCTGAATTTGGAACTGCCATACACTGATAGTGAAGTGAAAATCAGTTCAACCATGCTAGAAAAACAATTTGACATTATCTTTTAAAGTTTTACACTTGCACCCATTGTCATCTAACAATTCTACTGTACGATGTACTGCCGTAAGATGTAACTAGAATTGCCAACTTTGGCAAACAAGAATAAAGGACATCCTTTAAAATACACTTAAACTGTGTTTAAGATAAACAATGAGTAATTTTAAAATTTTATCTGAAATTCAAGTTTAATTTGGCCTCATCTACTTTATCTGGAAACCCTACAAATAAGAGGAGCCATGTACAAAAGTGTTCACAGTAGCATACTGTTTGTAAATATAAAACCTAGAACCCACCTAAATTTGTATGGAGGAAATAATGGGTAAACTATGTATTCACACAACAGAACATTAGGCAGCAGTAAAAATGAATACAGCTATGAATAAATCTTAGGAACATTATTTAAGGTTGAAATTAATTCAAAGGCCTTATGTTAGAAATTAAAAAAAAAAAAAGGTAAGTAAAAATGTAAAAGAAGGGGAGTGGTGCCCAGCTGGCTCAGTTGGTAAAGCATGCCACTCTTGATCTCTGGACCATGAGTTCAAGCTCCAAGTTGGGCATAGAACTTACTTAAAAAAATTGCAATACCACTTTCATAAGACTCAAAACCAACCACAACTAGACAATATATTGTTTCGAGATCCATACACACGACATAAAGTATATACTATATATATATATATATATATATATATATATATATATATATTTTTGTACATGGCTCCTCTTATTTGTATATATATATATATATATATCTCATATATAAAATTTGTATCTTGTATATACAAGAGAATGAGAAGCAAAACAAGGTAGTTGTTACTAAGGAAGTGGTAGAGCAGGGGACCAAGTTAGAGGAAGTGGTCACAGATTAATGTGACAGAGTTGGTAGTGTTCCTGTCCTACACAGGTAGAGGTACACACATATTCGTTACATTGCTCTGCTTCTTATCTCAGATATGTTACATAAGGTTTTCTGTATACATAAAATATTACATAAAATTTAAAAGATAGATCGACAATCAGGAAACTTAAGTGAGTTGAACAGATCTACAGACACATAGTCTAATGCTTTCTATTATATTGGGATACCTCTCCTAAAGAATAAATACAGGAAGCCCTGCACCCTGAAAATGGTGAAAAGTACAAAATACAGCTCCCTATCTAGCTCCAGGAAGAAGCTAGGAGAGGAGTGTACAGAGAACCAATTAAGCCAAATAATCGATAAATATAAATAAATGCTTTCAGCTAAGTACTGAGTCAGATTATTATGACTATAGGGGATGGGTGGCGGCAGGGAGATGTTCTCAAGTTTCTCAACTTGTGGTTGCAGAAGACTGCTTCGGTTACAATGAGAGACATACATTAGACACTATATTATGTGGTTGCAGACTGTGACAGAATGAGCCCAGTCCATTTCCTAGTAAACCGTTTTTGGCTCCTGTTTCCATGAGGAGGTAGGTGAGGAGGGGGAACTGTTCTTGCCTAGCTACAGAGTTGACTTGTCACACTCGGGTCACTTTAAAGGAAAGTGACAGTAAGGGTAAAGCCAATTTACACAAGCCAGCCTAATGCAGACCTAAAATACTTCTTGGGCTCACAGGACACTTGACATACAAACCTCTTCAATGAAATTTAAAGGACTGACCTTAGCTCCCTATGTTAAGGAGAGCTTAGTAGGTAAAAAGGACTGGCATCCACTCATGCGCAGTAAGCAATACCACAGTTCGCGCGAGTCCGGCTGGAGGCGGAGCTAATGGGCCCGGATAATACGTCACGGAGCGCAAGTGCGTCACTTATAGAGGCGGAACGTCCGGTCCCGGTTTCCTCGGCGACAGCGGCGGGCTGGTCCGCGTGTGGTGTTTGGGCTTCGCAGGCATGGGGACTCCTCCAGGCCTGCAGACTGACTGCGAGGCGCTGCTCAGCCGCTTCCAGGAGACGGACAGTGTGCGCTTCGAGGACTTCACGGAGCTCTGGAGGAGTATGAAGTTCGGGACCATCTTCTGGTGGGTGTTTCCGCCTCTCTCCTGGGTCGGGGGTGGCGTAGGAAGCTGCTTTCTTCTCCAACGCCTCGCAGCACCTGGGAAGGGCTGAGAAAGGCGGCAGTCTCAGAATGCTGCCCCCAGTTCTGCCGGGCCTTCTTCCTGGGCGCTTTCATTCCTTTCGGCTGCATCCTTTTGCGGCGTCCTCCTCAGTGTTATTTCTGCTTGGCTGTCGTTCTCAGCCCTCCTCTCCAGGTCCTCTGCCTGGTACCGGCCTAGGTCACCCATCATTCCCCTTCCTGCAGTGGTGTTCTCTTAGAACCTCGTGTTTGAAAACAAAACAAACACCTAGGCAAGGACAAACCCCTGCACGACGGAATTCATTTTTCATAGGACAACCAAAGTTGCCTTTCTAAAGTGCAAATTTGATCCCGTCACTCCCCTGCTTACCACTCCAGTGGTTTCCACTGCCCTTAGGATAAAGCTCGAATTCCCTAATTCCCAAATTCCCTAATATGCCTGGCAAGACTCTCCGTGACCGGCCTCAGTCCATCTCAGCGACTTTATCTGCCGTTTCCCTCCGTGCACTCGCTTGCTCCATTCTGCCTGTGGCCCTCTTCAGGCGTTTCGAAAGCCCGGAGCTTTCCCCCAGCTCTTTCTGCCAGGTCACCTTTGGCTTCCCTCGGTTTTAAGCTCAAATGACAGTTCTTTAGGGAAGCCTTCCTTTGCCCTTCTGAAGTAAGGCGTTCAGACTCTGTTTTTCCTAGAGCGCTCTTCTTATTTTATCTGTGGACTTTTCCCACAGGGTATTGTGAAGTGTAGTAGAGTGGTTACTGAGCCCCACTGCCTGATTTTGAATGAGTCCGCAGAGTAACCTGACTTCGGGGGAAGTTTGCCTGAGCTTCTGCATCTATACAGTGGAGACAGTGATAATACTTCACATTGTAGTTCTAAGGGTTAAATGAGCTAATATATGTTAAGTGCTTAAGGACTCTGTAACTATTCATTATTATTATTGCTTTAAATTTTTCCCTCAGCTGGATAGAGCTCTGAGGACAGTGACTGGATGAATTTGGTATCCATTGGCATAACATATATAATAGTGTAAAAGCTAAATAATTGGCTGACTGAATTCTTGTGATTAAAACTCTGTGTTTTCCTGAATAAAAAGTAAAAGTTCTCTTTTTTGTCGTAATATAATTATTTACATTGTTTGTACATTGCATGGTTTGAGGATAGAGAGCTATTTGTTGTACAGTTGATGAAAGGAAAGGAACTAGTTTTGTCTTTTTGAAGATTTTATTTATTTGACGGAGAGAGAGAGAGAGCACAGGCAGGGGTGCGCCAGGCAGAGGGAGAGAGAGAAGCAGGCTTCCCTGCAGAGCGGGGAGCCGGATGTGGGGCTCCATCCCAGGACCTTGGGATCATGACCTGAGCTGAAGGCAGTGGCTTAACCAACTGAGCCACCCAGGCACCCCAGGAACTAATTTTTTAATGGCTACTAAATGTGATGTGTTTATAGGTTAATGTATTTAATCCATGGAAGAACTCTGGAAAGCAGGTATATAATTATCCTTGTTTTATAGATGGGGAAATTGAGGCTCAAGGAGGTTAAGTAATCTCCACGATCAAACCGCTAGTAGGTGGTAGAACAGATACTGAGAACTGTATGTCTGCCTGCATTCAAAACCTGTGGTCTTGGGGCGCCTGGGTGGCTCAGTGGGTTAAGCCGCTGCCTTCGGCTCGGGTCATGATTTCAGGGTCTGGGATCAAGCCCCGCATGGGGCTCTCTGCTCTGTGGGGAGCCTGCTTCTTCCTCTCTCTCTCTGCCTGCCTCTCTGCCTGCTTGTGATCTCACTCTGTCAAATAAATAAATAAAATCTTTAAAACAAAACAAAACAAAACAAAAAACCTGTGGTCTTTCAGTGCATCTCTCCTGAGAATTGGCAGTTACGGAAAATTTTGCCGGGGTTACCTCAATATTTAGCTAATGAAGAAAAACTAAAATGAGAAAAAAAGTGAGGACGACTTGAAGAGTGATGTTACTTTAGAAAGTGCTTTGGTTGCTAATACAACAGTAGGTATTTTGCATTCTTTCAGTATATTTATTATTTGAAGAGCCTAGGCTTTGGGAGTATAGAGCAGTCGCTTTCCTGCTCTGCACCCTCTTTACTTTGGTGAGCTTTACCCTGCAGAATTGGGAGGAGGGCATGGGTTGGGTTGTATTGTGGTTCTCTAACTTTTTCACCTAGGTGTCTCAAAGACAAATGAGGGGTACTGTGAATCCCTGAGAGTATTGAGGAAAATCTCCATTATATATTAAAATGCATGTAATTTTTGTATTTTATTCTGTAATATAACCATGATTATTTTAATATTTTAAATATTTAAAATTTTTACCTGGGGATAATTTGTAACCCCTCCCTTTTTGCTCGCCAATTCAGCAAATAAAGTTGATGCTTTAGAAAGAGCATTATGTTTACCTACTATATGTCTGTGCCTCAGGGTAAGAAGCATAGCGGAAAATTAGGTCATGCTTGATCATGAAAGGACCAGATGTGGAATGCCCATTCAGTTTCTAGCAGCTGCTAGAATATACATCTTCTAATTTTTGTTCATTACTTGTTTACTGAGAGTCATAATATATTTTCTCTTTGTTTCCTAGTGGTAGAATGAGAAATTTAGAAAAGAACAAGTTTACAAAAGAAGCGTTAGCTTTGGCTTGGCAATATTTTTTACCTCCATACACCTTCCAGATCAGAGTTGGTGCTTTGTATCTGCTATACGGATTATATAACACCCAACTGTGTCAACCAAAGCAAAAGGTAATACTTGTTTTCCCTCAGCAACATAGGAAATAGGTACAATATTTTTACAACAAACTGATTTTAATAGGAATGCCAGTGTTTCAAAAATATAATACATTTGTGAAGAAGATTTACCTTTAGTAACAACTTTTTTACTTTTGTTTGTAGATTAGAGTTGCCCTGAAGGATTGGGATGAAGTTTTAAAATTTCAGCAAGATTTGATAAATGCACAACATTTTGATGCAGCATATATTTTTAGGAAACTACGACTAGACAAAGCATTTCACTTTACAGCTATGCCCAAATTGGTATGTTGTCTAAAATAGATCATTTTTCAAAATGAGAACTAATGCTTTATTGTTCATAAAGTACCTCAATCTCCATGACGTGGAAAAGATACCATGTAATTTCTGATACTTGTAGAAAGGTTTCTTAACATAGGAGAAAATACTTTCTAATTACTTTTGTTTTGCAAACAATTTAGTCTTTGCTTTTAAATGGAGTGTTTCTAAATGCCGTCTATTAAATTGTTAGAAGAAATTAGATTTGGCATCTGCCATTTTGCTTATTTCCCTTTTCAGACATTAGGTTACTGAAAGAGGGCCAAGGAATTTTAATGTCAGTTGGTGAAAAGTTGAAACTTCCACTAATAAAATTTATTTCTTCAGTCTTAATGACGGATGAGACACTAGACTGAAAGAGCATTAAGTCCTAATTCTGGTTCTGACATCAGCCCGCAAATCATGTAACTTGTCTGAATATCATCTGAAGTTAGAAGCATATGGCATGGCATCTTAAAGGTTATTTTAAAATTCTAGTAGTCTTTGGAAAATGGATTATCTAAAAAATATCCTTTAAAAGACATTCATTATCATCTAGCTATCATATAGGATGAAGAAGAAAATTCAGCGAGCTGAAGTTACAGAAGAATTTAAGGACCCAAATGATCGTGTAATGAAACTTATCACTTCTGATGTATTAGAGGTAAATTTGTTTTTTCTGCCCTTGAAATTAAAAAAAAAATTGTTATTATTATACCTTCATCTATGGGATACTGAAGTTTTTTCTAATGAATTTAACTGTTGATAGAATGCTTATTTTTCCTCCAAAGTATCAGAAAGAATACACCCTAAATATATGAAAATTTATGGAATAAATCTGAAAACTCAGAAACAAAAAGATGTAGAAGACTGTACTTGAACTTGGGTATTTAGATTCAAATACTGAAACCACCATTTGTATTTGACTTTAGATAGGTCATAAAACGAGAATTTAGGGCACCTAGGTAGCTCAGTGGATTAAAGCCTCTGCATTCGGCTCAGGTCATGATCCCAGGGCCCTGGGGTCAAGCCCCACATCCAGCTCTCTGCTCAGTGGGGAGCCTGCTTCTTCCTCTCTCCTCCTGCCTCTCTGCCTACTCGTGATCTCTGTCTGTCAAATAAATAAAATCTTTATTTATTATCTATTCATTTCCTTAGTTCCCTTTTATATGTTTATTTAAAAACTTATTGAATAACAATGAGGCTATTCTGATAAAAATTTGAAATCAAGAATTATGGATAAGAGGCACACTTTTTTTAAATTTAATTTTATTTTTTCAGTGTTCCAAGATTCATTTTTTATGCACCACACCCTGTGTGCGATGCAATACATGCCCTCCTTAATACCCACCACCAGGCTCACCTAACCCTGCACCCCCCTCCCTCCAAAACACTCAGTTTATTTCTCAGAGTGCAGTCTATCATGGTTCGTCTCCCCCCTCCAATTTCCCCCAATTCACTTTTCCATTCCTTCTAATGTCCTCCATGTTATTCCTTATGCTGCACAAGTAAGTGAAACCATATGATAATTGACTCTCTCTGCTTGACTTATTTCACTCAACGTAATCTCCTCCAGTCCCGTCCATGTTGATACAAAAGTTGGGTATTCATCCTTTCTGATGGAGGCATAATATTCCACTGTATATATGGACCATATCATCTTTATCCATTTGTTTGTTGAAGGGCATCTTGCCTCTTCTATAGTTTAGCAATTGTGGCCATTGTTGTTATGAACATTGGGCTACAGATGGCCTATCTTTTCACTACATCTGTATCTTTGGGGTAATTACCCAGTAGTGCAATTGCAGGGTTATAGGGTAGCTCTATTTTTAATTTCTTAAGGAATCTCTGGACTGTTTTCCAAAGTGGCTGCACCAACTTGCATTCCCACCAACAGTGTAAGAGGGTTCCCCTTTCTCCACATCCTCTCCAACACTTGTTGTTTCCTGTCTTGTTAATTTTGGCCGTTCTAACTGGTGTAAAGTGGTATCTCAATGTGGTTTTGATTTGAATTTCCCTGATGGCTAATGATGATGAACATTTTTTCATGTGTCTGTTAGCCATTTGTATGTCTTCTTTGGAGAAGTGTCTGCTCATGTCTTCTGCCCATTCTGACGTGGTAATCTATTTTTTGAGTCTTGAGTTTGAGGAGTTCTTTATAGATCTTGGATATCAGCCCTTTGTCTGTGGTGTCATTTGCGAATATCTTCTCCCATTCTGTGGGTTGCCCCTTTGTTTTTTTTTGGTTTTTTTTTTTTTAAGATTTTTATTTATTTATTTGACAGATCACAAGTAGGCAGAGAGGCAGGCAGAGAGAGAGAGGAGGAAGCAGGCTCCCCACTGAGCAGAGAGCAGGACCCTGGGATCATGACCCGAGCCGAAGGCAGAGGCTTTAACCCACTGAGCCACTCAGGTGCCCCAACCCCTTTGTTTTGTTGACTGTTTCCTTTGCTGTGCAGAAGCTTTTGATCTTGATGAAGTCCCAAAAGTTCATTTTTGCTTTTGTTTCCTTTGCTTTTGGAGACATGTCTTGAAAGAAGTTGCTGTGGCCAGTGTTGAAGAAGTTACTGCCTATGTTCGCCTCTAGGATTTTGATAGATTCCTGCCTCATGTTGAAGTCTTTTATCTGTTTTGACTTTATCTTTGTGTGTGGTGTAAGAAAATGGTCAAGATTCATTCTTCTAAATATAGCTGTCCAATTTTCCCATCACTGTTTGTTGAAGAGACTGGTTTTTTTTTTTCCACTGGATATTTTTTCCTGCTTTGTTGAAGATTATTTGACCACAGAGTTGTAGGTCCATATCTGGGCTCTCTTCTGTTCCACTTGTCTGTGTGTCTGTTTTTGTACCATGCTGTCTTGGTGATCACAGCTTTGCAGTAAAGCTTGAAATCAGGCAACGTGATGGCCCCAGTTTTTTTCAACATTTCATTAGCAATTCGGGGTCTTCTCTGGTTCCATACAAATTTCAGGATTGTTTGTTCCAGCACTTTGAAAAATGCTGGTGGAATTTTGATGGGGATGGCATTGAAAGTATAGATTGCTCTAGGCAGTATAGACATTTTAACAGTGTTTATTCTTCTGTTCATGAGCATGGAATGCTTTTCCATCTCCTTGTGTCTTCAATTTCTTTCATGAGTGTTCTGTAGTTCCTTGAGTACAGATCCTTTGGTTAGGTTTATTCCCAGGTATCTTATGGTTCTTGGTGCTATTGTAAATGGAATTGATTCTCTAATCTCCCTTTCTATGTTTTCATTGTTAGTGTGTAGGAAAGCAACTGATTTCTATGCATTGATTTTGTATCCAGCCACATCACTGAATTGCTGTATGACTTCTAGTAGTTTGAGGGTAGAGTCTTTTGGGTTTTCCATATAAAGGACCATGTCATCTGTGAAGAGAGAGAGTTTGACTTCTTCTTTGCCAATTTGAATATTTTTTATTTCTTTTTGTCTGATTGCTGTTGCTAGGACTTTTAGTACTATGTTGAACAACAGTGGCTAGAGTGGGCATCCTTGTCCTGTTCCTGATTTCAAAGGGAAAGCTGTCAGCTTTTCCCCACTGAGAATGATTTTCGCTGTGGGTTTTTCATAGATAGGTTTTATGAAGTTGAGGAATGTTCCCTCTATCCCTATACTTTGAAGAGTTTTAATCAGGAACAGATGCTGTATTTTGTTAAATGCTTTTTTTGCATCAATTGAGAAGAGCATGTGGTTCTTCTTTCTTCTCTTATTGATTTGTTCTGTCTCACTGATTGATTTCCAAATATTGAACCACCCTTGCATCCCAGAGGTAAATCCCACCTGGTCATGGTAGATAATCTTTATAATGTACTGTTGGATCCTGTTAGCTAAGATCTTTTTGAGAATCTTGGCATCCATATTCATCAGGGATATTGGTCTGAAATTCTCCTTTTTGATGGGGTCTTTGCCTGGTTTGGGGATCACGGTAATGCTGGCTTCATAGAAAGAGTCTGGAAATTTTCCTTCTGTTTCTATTATTTTGAAACTGCTTCAGGAGAATAGGTATTATTCTTTGAATGTTTGGTAGAATTCCCCAGGGAATCTGTCAGGTGGTGGGCTCTTGTTTTTTGGGAGGGTTTTTGATCACTGCTTCAGTGTTGTTACTAGATATTCAGGTTGTCAATTTCTTCCTGTTTCAGTCTTGGAAGTTTATAGGTTTCCAGGAATGCATCCATTTCATCTAGGTTACTTAACTTATTGGCATATAACTATTGATAGTAATTTCTGATGATTGTTTCTATTTCCTTGGTGTTAGTTGTGATCTGTCCCCTTTCATTCATAATTTTATTAATTTGTGTCCTCTCTCTTTTCTTTTGGATTAGTTTAGCCAGTGGTTTATCGATCTTATTGATTCTTTCAAAGAACCAGCTTCTAGTTTCGTTGATGTGTTCTACTGTATGTCTAGTTTCTAACTCATTGATCTCTGCTCTAATCTTGATTCTTTCCCTTCTTGTGCATGGGTTGGCTTAATTTGTTGTTGATTTTCCAGTTCTTTAAGTTGTAAAGAGAGCTGGTGTGTTCTGGATTTTTCAGTTTTTTTGAGTGAGGCTTGGATGGCTATGTCTTTCCCCCTTTGCTGTATCCCATAGGTTTTGGACCGATGTTTCTTGATTCTCATTGGTTTCCATGAATTGTTTAAGTTCTTTTTTGATTTCCTGATTGATCCAAACATTCTTAAGCAGGTTGGTCTTTAGCTTCCAACTTTTATTTTATTTTATTTGACAGAGAGAGAGAGATCACATGTAGGCAGAGAGGCAGGCAGAGAGAGAGAAAGGGAAGCAGGCTCCCTGCTGAGCAGAGAGCCTGACGCGGGGCTCGATCTCAGGACCCTGAGATCATGACCTGAGCTGAGGGCAGAGGCTTTAACCCACTGAGCCACCCAGGAGCCCCTAGCTTCCAAGTTTTTAATTCCTTCCAAACTTTTTCCTGTGGTTGAGTTCCAGTTTCAAAGCATTGTGGTCCGAGAATATGCAGGGAATAATCTCAATCTTTTGGTATCGGTTGAGCCCTGATTTGTGACCCAGTATGTGGTCTGTTGTGGAGAAAGTTCCATGTGCACTCGAAAATAATGAATATTCTGTTGTTTTAGGGTGGAATGTTCTGTATATATCCATGAGGTCCATCTGGTCCAATGTGTCATTCAAAGCTCTTGTTTCCTTATTGATTTTCTGCTTGGATAATCTGTCTGTTACTGAGAGTGGCATGTTAAGATCCCCTACAATTAATGTATTCATATCAATATGGATTTTTATTTTGATTAACAATTGGCTTATGTAGTTGGCTGCTCCCATATTGGGGGCATAAATATTTATAATTATTAGGTCTTCTTGGTGGATAGACCCTTTACGAATGATGTAGTGTCCTTCTGTATCTCTGACTACAGTCTTTAGTTTAAAATCTGATTTATCTGATATGAGAATCGCTACCCCAGCTTTCTTTTGAGGCCCGTTGGCATGAAAGATGAGTCTCCATCCCTTCACTTTCAGTCTGGATATATCTTTTGGTTCCAAATGTGTCTCTTTTAGACAGCATATGGACAGGTCCTTTTGTTTTATCCAGTCTGCAACCCTGTACCATTTTATGGGAGCATTTAGGCCATTCACGTTGAGAGTGATTATTGAAAGATAAGTTTTTATTGACAGCATGTGCCTGTGAAGTCCTTATTTCTATAGATTTTCTCTGTGATTTTCTGTTCTATGTCACTCTTGGGTTCTTTCTTATTTTATAGAAGCCCCCCTTAATATTTCTTGTAGTGCTGGCTTGGGGGTCACATACTCTTTTACACCTTGCTGGTCGTGGAAGCTTTTTATCTCTCCATCCATTTTGAGTGTCAACCTTGCTGGATAAAGTGTTCTTGGCTGCATGTTCTTCTCATTTAGTGCCCTGAATATGTCTTGCCAACCCTTTCTGGCTTGTCCGGTTTCTGTGGACAGGTCTGATGGTATTCTGATGGACCTTCCTCTGTACATAAGGAATCTCTTCCCCCTAGCTGCATTTAGAACCTCTTGTCTAAAATTATGATTCTTGAATTTTGCAATCAAGTGTCTGGAGATCTTTCTAGATTCATTGATCTTGGTGGATGTCATTTCTGCCTCCAGGACACAAATGCTTGTTCCATTTCCCAGACTGGGGAAATTTTCATCCAGAATTTTTTCAACTATATCTTCTAGTCTTCTCTCTTTCTCCACCCCCTCAGGGATCCCAATAATTCTGGTGTTGAAATGTTTCATGGTGTCATTTATTTCTCTAATTCTGTTTTCATGGCTTCTAAGCTGTTTGTTCCAGGCCTCCTCCTGATCCTTTTCCTCTATCAGTTTGTCCTCTAGATCACTAATTCTGTCTTCTGCCTCGGTTACCCTAGCTGTTAGAGTATTTAGATTAGTTTGGATCTCATATTGGTTTTCTCCAACCTGGATTGGAGGCATTGCCTGGATAGTTGTTGCCCTGAATTCCCTTTCTGACATATTATTTATGTCCATATGCACCAGCTCTGTGGAAGAGGGCACAGTCTCTGGATTTTTCCTCTGTTGGGTGTTCCTCCTCCTCGTCATTTTGGTGAGAGGTGGTTGAGGGGATGTACAGCTGAATATATCAACCATGATCTAAGCAAGATGCACCCTCTCCACTGATGTCTTCTGCCCCCCTTGAGATCCAGAAGTGTATAATCTTACATCTCAGGCTGATTTCATGGGTGTTCAGAGTGTTCTGGTAGATATTTAGCACACTTTAGGGGACCAGTTGAAACAGGTTCTCCTACTTCCCTGCCTTCTTATCCCTCGTCTGCCCAAGAGGCCACTCTTAAAGTAGCTTTACCATCTAATGTATTTTGGTATTTTATTTCAGTTGTTCAGTATTAACAAAAAAATCTTCTTTTACATGGATCAGTAGTGAGAGTCATAGAGTTTTATATGCATGGTAAAACACCACCCTGAGTTTAAAACAATACCTATTACCAGGACTACAACCTAGTAATTGATGATATATTCACATGTCAAAAGAATGAATATATGCACACATAAAGGGAGAGAGAATTCTCATGAGCAAGTGAGTCTAACCAGGGTACTGGCTTAGGTCAGGTTTTTAAATTTCTTTAATCCTTAGTTTCCCCCTCTTTAATATTAGGATTACCATCCTTATATCATCCAATTGTAAGAATTGAAACTGAATTATGTCTGTATAATGCTGAGGATGGCATATGGCACATAGTGGACTCTTGATAAATGTTACTTTTTTTTTTTCTCAACCCTATTCAATCTTTTCCTGTATCAGGAGTGAAAGAGGGATCAGATTTTCAATTTGCTCAAATGTTACTCTGTATTTTAGATGCTACCATATTCTAATAGCTTTAGCCTGTCAGATTTCATCTGTTATGTTTGTAGTTAAGGTAGCAAATTGATTTTTTTTTAAAGACATTGATTTATTTGAGAGAGAGGGAAAGAGTGTGTGTGTGAGACTGGGGGAGGGGATGAGGGAGAGCGATTCTCAAGCAGACTGCCCACTGAATGTGGAGCAGGTTGTGGGGCTCAATCTCAGGACCCATGAGATCATGACCTGAGGTAAGATTAAGAGTCAGATGCTTAACCAACAAATTGATTTTTGAAAGTACTCTGGGTGTACTCTGTAAAATAACTGTTTTTAAGCAAAAATTGTTAATTTGGGATCCATGGGTGGTGTTCAGAAGGTCCATGTATCCTTTTCCCCCTGCATTGTATGATAAACTCTCATATATATGGGGGCTTGGTTTGGTTGAGGTACCATAACTACCTTCACATTCTCAAAGGTGTTCATGCTCCAACCCCCACTCCTCCCCACCCCTCACCAAAAGATAAGAATTACTGTGTTAGAAGGAATCTGTTTACTAAATGTCTAGTCATAGTACATGGTATAGTACGGGAGCTAAACAAGATGTTTTGTATAGATTATTTTATTCCTCATAATATCCCTGCCAGGTAGGTGTTTTAAATAATTTTTAAATTATTTGTTTAACTTCAAGTTTATATTTAGGCTTAGGATAAGGATTCAGTGAGGGGAGGTTGTATGAAAGATGGAAATGCAGGGTTCCTGCTATAAAGGAGGTAGGCAGTCCGTGATGGAAGCCCAGTGGAGAGATTAGCCTTGAGCAGGAGAAGGCATAATTCTTTTGAAACTTGGGGAAAGGAGGTGAAAATCGATTCATATGATTTGTTGTGAAGAAGAGAAATAGAAGAGAAATAGGCCTGATTAGTCTGAACTTTAGGAAACGGCATTGAGGGTTCAAGGAATTGAGAATAGAGAAAGTTTGGAATAAACACTGTGAAGAACAAAAGGTTTGGGGATAGCAGAAAGGATTGCCAGGAAGTACTGAGGTTAATCATAAGGAGGCAGAGGATGTTTTAGAAAGCAAGACATTACATTGTTCTTATCCATATTCTCTTAATGAAAAAGATGATTTGAATCCAATTATAATTTTTGGTTGTGGACTAATATGGTGGTGGAATGTTAATTTTTTTTTCAACATACCTTGTTGAACGTGCTTTTTAATTTTGATTTTAAGTTCTTTTACTGTATGAATTGAAGGTCCTGAAGGTGTTGAATTAAAGATTCCTCTGTTTTAAAAAATTGTGTATGTCAGCAAACAGGTGTGGAAGATTTTAGAGCTGAAGTGATGCATAAAGGCATGTCCTTTTAGGGTGATTGGGGAGGACGGTCAGAAGGGCCAAGCTATGGAATGGCTATCCTTAGAAATTTCTGTATGAAGTTATCCTCACTACCTAGGGTCTTTGGCTTGCCACAGATCTGCTTTGAGATCCTTATCCCTCAATACCTCAGTTGACTCTGTCCTGTCCTAGTGTAGTCCTTGACCCATTCTCACTGATAATCCTTACATTTAATACTTCCTTACTTTCCTTCTGCACAAATGCTATTAAGTCTGCCCATCAGCACCTGAATTTTTGTCATCATTCTGTCACTCATTAGTTCTAGCTTTGTGGTTAAGGAGGCATAATAAAATGAAAAGAATAGGACCAGAACTTCTAGTTTTGTTGAATCACCATATTGTACAACTGAAACTAATATAACTTTCTATGTTAACTATAATGGAATTAAAAAAAAAAGTATATGGGGAAAAAGAAATTTTTGATTTTTAATTTTAACTGTTACTTAAATATGACCTTGAGCCAGACATTTCATTTCTGAGTCTTTATTTATATGGTTATAATAATGGCTGTGATCTGTTGTGTTTTCAAAATGTGCCAGGAACAATGTTAGATGTTTTGTGTTGTTATCTCACTGATAATCTTAGTAACCCTATAAAGAAGGTGGTATTTTCCTAATCTTAAAAACAAGGAAACTGAGGTTCAGAGAAGTAAACTAATTTCCATAAAGTGCAGTACCGTAAGGTACAGACTGGATTTGAGTGTCCAAGCCTATAAGGTTCTAAGCCCATGCACTTTCTTTTATTTCTTAATTCTTCACCTTTGTATAGTGCTTTACATTTTATAGAAGATTCCCACTGGTATAAGTACACTTAATACTTTTATACTGGGCTAGATGGCATCATCTCTTCATTAGTAACGTTGTGCTATTTTGGTTGCATGATTATATTATTTTCAATGTACTGTAGCATATTATTCCTTATCAACTTAGTCATTTTATTTTGTGTTGATTTTGCCTATAAGTTTCTCCTCAAAAATGGAAATAAAAAACTCATCTTTTCACTTTTAGGAAATGCTGAATGTTCACGATCATTATCAGAACATGAAACATGTAATTTCAGGCGATAAATCCAATCCAGACAAAGCCCTCAGCTTGATAAAGGATGATTTTTTTGACAATATTAAGAACATAGTTTTGGAGCATCAGCAGTGGCACAAAGACAGAAAGGTATATGACTGCTTGTTGGATACCTCGCCATTGTATTTGCATTACACATAGCTGGACTTAGGTGATAAAATTGAGAGGCAGCTTACTTGAGTGGCTATATGTTTCTAGAGTTACGATTTCGAGGGCTTTATTTTTCTAGCTCTGGCTTTGCCAGTTATCAGCTATGTGATGTTATTTAACCTTAAAACAGATTTTTTTATGTAATTATATAATTAAACAATTATTAGTAGCAATTCTATAATATGTGTTAAATAATATACATTATATATAATATCAGTGTAACTATAATCTTGGTATACACAGATTTATTATAATCTTTGTAATTTAGCATTTTCCAGAGGTTGCACACTAGCCGTCTTTGGGTCAGATCCTACACACAGGTGTGGTTTCTTTGATACGGTGTTGATCCTAACACTGCTTTAAAATGTTGAATTAATCACTAGAATTTAAATTTTTGTTACTTCACTTAAAATTGCAGACATCCAACTTCTCTTAAAAGTAAGTAGTTTGGGGGAATGCCTGGGTGGCTCAGTCGGTTAAACATCCAACTCTTGATTTTTGGCTCAGGTCGTGATCTCAGGGTTGTGAGATCAAATCCCGTGTTGGGCTATGGGTTCAGCACAGAATCTGCTTGAGATTCTTCCCCTCTCCCTTTGCCCTTCCTCCCATGCCCATGCCCTTTCTCTCTCTAAAATAAATAAATAAGGCTAAAAAATATTATTAAAAATTCAGTGGTTCGGAAACCCTGGTTCCATTTTTCTGCATGGCAGCAGACTGCCAGGTTGTGGCAGTTGTGGCTTCTTCCATTGTGATTGGGCATGCTCTACCTGACTGGGTTTATCCATTTACAGATCTCATCAACACAAATCTTCCGTTTAGTTTTCTGATCCAAATACTGATGCTAGGCTGCCCATTTTCCACAGTAACCTTTTCACATAGAGAAACTTTTTTACTCTGGAAATCAGCTTTGCTCAATTTAACTTTTAAACCACTCTTCCATCTTATTTTAGTAAATCCTTTTAGGAAAAAATAAAAGAACATAAATAATTTCTGATGACTTACTATGTATCTGATAATGTATTAGTGTTTTCACAAATGCTACATAGGTGGTATTATTTTATATATTGTCTTTTAGAAAGACTTGCTCCCACTTTTTCGTTTTTCATTGTATAAAGGGAGCTGGTTCAAGAAAAAAAGGCTGGCTCAAAACTTAATTTTAGAAAAGATAAAGAAAGTGATGAGCTGACAGTCTTGGAAAAGAGGAAACAATTTGCTTCTTGTACACCCATTTATTTTAATGAGAGACAGCACATTTTAGACTGAATACTTTGTTACAAATGGGTTACACAAATGACCTAAGCAATTCATGTAAAAATCTATTAGGTACTCTGTTATAGTACTTTGATAGTACCTTTTTTTTATAGTATGTCTTTTAGTAAGCTCTCTAATTAGCATTACTAAGACCTCTAAAAACCTGAAAGAAAGGAGGATAAACCAATTTTCTTACTGCTGTGTGAAGTGTGTGTTTTCCTTCATTAGTTAGGAGGATTCAGACATTAAATTGATAAATTTTAAAACTGTTCTGAAACCTAACCTTGATATTAATGTCAGGTGGTGAACCATGCTGTAATAATGTGAAGTGATCGTTTAGTTTTGTAGTAATTAAATGATTCTCACTGCTCTGAAATGATTTGCAATTGATTTTTTAGTTAATTTGAATTATAAATGTGTATATATAACATTTTCGCTCTTTCAGAATCCACCCTTAAAATCAAAAGTTAAAGATGGAGGAGAAAAGAAAGAAGGAAATTCACAAGAATCAGAGGTCAGAAAAATTCACTATATGATTATTTACGGGGCAATAGTTAAGTTAGCTTCTTTTCGTTTGATATGTGGCTCTGATTCTGTATACAAGTATTATGACCCTTGGTCACTATTAACACAATTATCTCAAACAATTCTGAAACATCAGTTCTCTGAAGAGTTAGTTTGTTCTTTTCTGGAAACTGTATGAAAGACACATCAGGTGTAGATTGGAAGCGAGGATGGTAAGTGTTTCTGCAGGGAAAGAGGAGGATAACTGTGGAGGGTGCTCTCTGCCCTTACACAGACAGAGCAAGGTTTTTGCATTATGTCATTTCTTACTTCCTGTCTGACTTTCAACCAGTGTGGAAGGCTTGCTATTATTTATTTATTGCTTCTGCCTCCACAGAGTTTTTATCTATCTTAGTTGATGAGACAAGGAACCATTTTTGGGCATAGGCAGATGTGGGGGGTGATGGCCTTAATCACCAATGCTTTCATTCATATGAACCTCTTTAAATCCTAAATAATAACAATCAGTAGCCATAGGGATGGTATTGTGGACCTGCTATGAGAACGTGGTGTGTTTTTATATGTCTTTGGTGAATATGAGTCCAATGAATATTAACTTCTTTGACCGTACGTTCTGTCTCAGATCTTATTTCTGATAACAAATAGTTGGGAATCCATAATTTCTGTTAATATTTATGTTTCTTTTTCTCCTTCCTGTTTATGTTTTATCCAGAGATGTGAAAGGGCAGAATCTTTAGCGAGAATAAAATCAAAGGCCTTTTCAGTTGTCGTTCAGGTAAGTCATTTCTTTCATAAGATAATTTAGGAATTGAACGGCTGCTTTTTTTTTTTTTTTAAAGATTTTATTTATTTATTTGACAGAGAGAGATCACAAGCAGACAGAGAGGCAGGTAGAGAGAGAGAGGGAAGCAGGCTCCCTGCTGGGCAGAGAGCCCGATGCGGGACTCGATCCCAGGACCCTGAGATCATGACCTGAGCCGAAGGCAGCGGCTTAACCCATTGAGCCACCCAGGTGCCCTAGACCCATTTCTAATTTCTAAACTATTGCCCCGTAAATTTTTTAGACCCATTTAGACCCATTTCTTTTTTAGACCCATTTTTTAGACCCATTTCTAATGATTCTAATTCCTGATCCACTTGGATCAGTTTGGTTTATAGTAACTTTCTCAATATAGGCAATTAGATTTCAGACTTCGTTCTGTTAAGTCAGCTGTCACTCACTGGTTCTACTACCAAATTTTTTTTTTTTAGCAGCTCCATTGTTTTCTACTATTTCTGTTTTGGGAGTTTATTCAGAAATTTTCTCACTTTAATTTTAGTGGGATTTGAGGGGAGAACACAGATAAGTTTATGTGCTTAATCCCATATTTTTTCCTGGATTGTTTTCATGAATATAGGAGTTCTTTTTTCTGTGGGAAATTACTATCATTTTCTAGTTGTAGAAGTGAAAAGGAATAAATAAAAAATTAAAAGTGATTGTAGATTAGTTAAGTGTTACATATTTGTTATCCCACACAGTGAATTGAGCACAAAATATTGTTGAATGAAAGCACCAAGGACAATAAGTTAACTAATCCAAATTGTTTTAAACCAGAACTGCCCACATTATATAGTGCTGATTGATATTTAGTGTGTATCTTAAAACATGATGAGAATTAAATTGTAATTCCCATAAAGTGTTACAAGAGTGTGTCATAGCATAGCTGCAGGTTTTTTCTTTATTGAGGTACAATTAAAATATAATGAATGGCAATTTTTTAATAGTTGTTAATACCTGGATTTCAGCATTAGCTGAAAACTCCTGTAAGGACTCTGCTTAAGCAAGTAAGGGAATTCATTGATTGAAAATAACTAAAATGTCCTTGCAGTGTCCCTTTATTTTTCACCTTTTATGTTGCTTTCACTGTCTTCAAATGTTCCTGACAGCCAACTATGCATGTTTCCAGCTGTGGATTCAATGGAAAGGGAGAATTTTCCTTCCTAATAGTTACACAGAATTCTAAAATTGAGCTATGGTGGAGATCACATGCCCACCCCTGAACAGATCAGTGGCCACGGTGATGTGAAATTTTTGACTAGATGAGCAGCACGTACCTGGAGCCAGGTGTCAAGTAGTTCCACTCAAAACACATGGTGATAACTAGGGAACATAAATGTTCTTAGAAGAAAGGGAGACTAGGTTAGTAGACAGTAAAAAACAGTACTCATCCTTTATACCTGTTTCCCAGCCATGCAACAACAACTACATTTTAACCCAACAACTACATTTTTTACCCAATTTGAGTAGATGGTGATGACAGTTGCAAGAAGCCTTCCTGTTATAAAGATAAAAGAGTATATATATTTCCTTTTATAAAGATTAAAGAGTGTATATATATGCAACAAGTATTAAGCAAGCCAGTATAATGGTGCTTTTTATGAGTTATTTTTCCCCATCTTTGTGTATTTTGTCTTTTCCTAAATTGTCTATTAGTTGGATTCATTTTGTGATTTATTATGGTTAATTGGATTTCTAACTCTTAAGGCATCCAAGTCAAGAAGGCATCGTCAAGTCAAACTTGACTCTTCTGACTCTGATTCTGCATCTGGTCAAGGACAAATCAAAGCAACTAGGAAAAAAAGAAACAAAGAAACATTGAAATCAGCAGGAAGGAAGATGTCTTCTAGAAACAAAGGTAACTTTTTAAAGTCTTTTTGAGACTCAGCAAGGGATAATGAATCTTGTTTTACAACTTCCCTTCCCTGTTCTTTCTTTATTAAAAGGGATTAGATACTTGTTTGAGAACTTTGTGAGATTTAATATAAACATGAATTAATTATCTTAGATCCTTAGAATCTTACTGCTTAAAGGGATCCTAAGAGTTATCAAATTCATCATTCCATAGATGATGAAATTTAGGTCCATACAGATTAAATAATTTGTCCAAAAGTGAAATAGCTATTTATAAAATCAGTCTAAAATTGTCCAGACCATATTTTATGAGTACTTTTTGTGTGTGAATTAAACTTAAGTGTAGACTTAGGTGTAATACATTCTATAAACTATATTTCCCTTTAGCTGCATTAATTAAGCTGTACCTTTTCTTTTAAAATAGTGTGTCTATCAAATTAACCTTAGTATTTGATTCTTAAAGAAATGACTATATATTTTAATAGTTTAATTTTTAAAAAATTGCACGAGTAATATATATTCACTATACATAAAGTTGGAATCTGATTAGCAGGCTCAGGAGGAGAAAAAAAAGGCATTAGAAACATTAGTAAATATTCAATGCCTAATATAAAACATATTCCCAGCTACTAGTGCAGTATATAAAGATGGGTTATGGCTTTTTTTTTTTTTTTTTAAAGATTTTATTTATTTATTTGACAGAGAGAGATCATAAGTAGGCAGAGAGGCAGGCAGAGAGAGAGAGGAGGAAGCAGGCTCCCCGCCAAGCAGAGAGCCCGATGCGGGGCTCGATCCCAGGACCCTGAGATCACGACCCGAGCCGAAAGCAGAGGCCCAACCCACTGAGCCACCCAGGTGCCCCGGGTTATGGCTTTTTAACATAAATGTTTTCCTTCCTATAGCCTTTCCCTTCCAGGTAGTGGAAGGAGAATTAAAGTTAAATACCTTTAACATAGTCCAGATATGATTAACTTTGGTAACAGTTGCTTGAAGTATACTGAAAATTCAGAGGAGGAGATACCATATTTGTTAAGGATAATCAGGAAATACTTCAAAAGCAGAATTTCTTGGTTCTTTTTACAAGGCTGGCAGATATTGGGAAGAAACCTGTTAGACCAATCTCACTCTGAAAAAAAATCCTATTATAAGTATTGAAAGAATCCCAGCTATAAAACAACTTAACTGAGTGCATTTTGTTCCAGAATGAAGGGACGGTGCAATTTGGAATATATCAATATAATTTGCCATACAAATAGATTAAAGGGGAAAATGGGAATTCATTTTATACTTACCCAAGAAGACATTTGATAAAATCTAGCATCTATTCTTGATTAAAAAAAGAATCCTTTAGATTAGGGGGTCAGCAAACCTGTTATAAAGAACCAGGGGGTAAATATTTTAGGCTTCTTAGGCCATAAGATTTCTTTAACAACTACTTAACTCTGCCATTGTAAGGCAAAGTAACCACAGACAATATATAAGCAAATGAATATGTTCCAATAAAATTGTATTTACAAAAACAGGTGGTAGGCCAGGTTTAGCCTGTGGCCACAGTTTGTCAGCCTCTGCTCCAGATTAAAAAAAGTAGTATGTTATATCTTAACTCAGTTTTAAAAAGTATGTATGTGAGTGCATGTTATTTGACAAAAGGCCACCTCATGTTTGTTGCTAGTACATAGAAGTATCACAATTGTATTTAATACTGCCTGTCAATGTAATTAGGCAGGATAGTGAAGTAAGACATGATTTCAGAAAAATTAGAAAATTACCATGATTGGGGTACTTGGGTGGCCCAGTGGGTTAAAACCTCTGCCTTCAGCTCAGGTCATAATCTCAGGGTCCTGGGATCAAGCCTCCCATCGGGCTTACTGCTCGGCAGGGGGCCTGCTTCCTTCCTGCCTCTCTGCCTACTTGTGATCTCTCTCTCTCTCTGTCAAATAAATAAATAAATAAATTTTAAAAAAGAAAATTACCTTGATTTACAAATGACTGATTTTATGCGTAAAAATATCTTAAAGAAAATTCCCTGGAAAAAACATTGGAGCACAAAATTTAGTAAGGTAAAGGACACCACTGCAAACTGTACAGAAATTAAGAGGCTAATAAGGAAAAATTATAAATACTCTTATGCCAATAAGTTAGGTTAGGTAAAACGGATATATCTTTTTAAAGACACACATTTCCAAAACCAACACTAAAAGGAATATAGCATTTGAGTAGTTCTACATTTACTAAAAAAAAAATACATTCCAGCAAATGGCTTTGCTGGAAAGTCTAAGAAACATTTAAGGAAGGAATATTATGCTGTTCTTTCAGAAGACACAAGAAGGAACACTTCCCAGCTTATTGACCTTTTAAGAAAAGACAAAGACTTTCCCTCATGAATATGAATATAAAAATTTTTACAAACTATTGGCAAGTTGAATCCAATGGTATCTTAAAAGGACAGTGTAGTAGAATAAACTTGGGTTTATCCCAAGAATATAAGGCTGGTTTATTTAGGAAATAAAGGAGAACCAGAATAAAGAAGAAGGACTGTATAATCATCTCAGTATATGTCGACAAAATATTTGACAAAATCCAGCATCTATTCATGATAAAATCTGAGAAAATTAGGATTAGAAAGGAACTTTCTCAACCCGATAAAGGATTTGTGTGGAAAAAAATACAGCTAACACCATACTTAATGGTGAAACCATACTTTCCCTCTGAAATACAAGGCAGGGATGACTATGCATTATTCCTCTTATACATCATACTGGAGGTCCTAGCCAGTGAAGTAAGGCAAGAAAAAGAAATAATAGACATTTAGATTAGAAAGGAGGAAATAAGATTGTGTCTGTTTACAAATGAAATTACTTTTTACACAGAAAATTTCAAAAATTCTACTCAGTAGTTACCAGAACTAATAAGTAAGTTTAACGAGGTCACAAGGTATAGGGTTAGTATTTCTGTATACTAACAATGGAATAATTAGTAATTGAAAAAAATTTTAAAGTATAACAACACAAAATCCACAAAATAGCTTAGAATATAGGTAACAACATGTGTACGGGATCTGTATGCTGAAAACTACAAAATGATGAAAGGAATCAAAGATGATTTAGGTGAATGGAGAGATAATATGGACCTCATGGATTAGAAAACCAATACAGTTAAGAGACACCTAATCCTGTATTGTTCTGTAGATTAAATGTAATCCCAAGAAGTCCCAACAGTTATATAAATAACAAGCTGATTCTTAAGTGTATATGGAAATGGGAAGAAACTAGAGTAGCCAAAACAGTTTTGAGAAATAACTATAAAATTTCAAAAATCAAGACAATGTACTATCTGCAAAAAGGTAGACATACAAGTCAATGGAAGAGAATAGGGAATCTAGAAATAGACTTGTACTTACATCGTCAGTTTTATTTTTGACAAAGGTACAAGGAGAATTCCAGGTAAAAAGATAGTCTTGTAAATGGCGCTGATACAATTTTATATCCATATGCAAAAAACATCTTCAACGTAAACCTCTTTGCCATATGCAGAAATTAACTTAAAATGGTTACAGACTTAAATATAAAAACTAAAGTCATAAAACTTAAAAGATGAAAACAAGGGGTGCCTGGGTGGCTCAGTGGGTTAAAGCCTCTGCCTTCGGCTCAGGTCATGATTCCAGGGTCCTGGGATCAAGCCCAGCATTGGGCTCTCTGCTCAGCAGGGAGCCTGCTTCCCTTCCTCTCTGCCTGCCTGTCTGCCTACTTGTGATCTCTGTCTGCCAAATAAATAAGTAAAATCTTTAAAAAAAAGAAAAAAGATGAAAACAAAAAATGTGGTCTTAGATTGGGCAAAGATTTTTTATACATGACAAGAAATACAAGCCATAAAAGAAAAAAATTTAGTTAGACTTGCCTCAAATTAAAATTCTTTGGAAGACACTTATAAGAAAACGAAAAGACAGGCCACAGAGTGGGAGAAAATATTTGCAAGATACAAACCTGATAGAGGTCTTGTGTCCAAATATATAAAGAACTGTCAACACTTAGTAATAAATAAACCGCCCAATGAAAAGATGGGCAAAAAATCTGAACAGATACTTCAAAAAGAATATGTGCATGGTAAATAAGCATCTTGAAAGATGTTTGACATCTTTAATTAGTGGGAAATGCAAATTAAAAGCATAGTAACATTCTAATACTGCCTGTCACAATGGCTACAAAAACTGAAAAACAAAACAAGGAGATTGACAATAATAAAAGCTGATGAGGACACAGAACATTTGAACCTTCATACATTGCTGGTGGGAATCCAAAATGGTACAGTCACTTTGGAAAACTGGCTGTTTCCGATAAAGCTAAACACACACTTACCTTATGACCCAGCAGTCCTACTCCTTGGTGTTTACCCAAGAGAAGTGAAAACTTACATAATTTCACACAAAAGGTTGTATGCAAAAGTTTATACTGGTTCTGTACATAATTGTGAATAATTATAGCCAGCCTAAATGTCTTCAACTTGGGTAAACAAACCATGGAATAAGTGTACAGTGAGTTACTACTCAGGAATAAAGCAGCTGCTGATACATATAGTAGCATGGAGGGGGGACTCATGTGCCTTGTGCTAAGCAAGAGAAAGAAGACAGACATAAAAGGCATAAAGACAATCTGGAAGAATCAGAATTTATAGGGGCAGAAAACATCATAGGTGGCTAGGTGCTGAGGGTGGAGGGCGGTGTTGACTGTAGAAGGGCAGGGAAATTTCTGATAATGAAAATAAAGGAATTGTTCTGTATTTTGGTTGCAGTGGTAATTGCACAACTGCATTTGTCCAAACTCCTAAACCTGTATATTGAAAATGGGGACTTTTATTATCTATAAATCAACAACTGAAACCCAGAGGACATGAGGAAAAGACTGATTAGTTTGATTGTATTTAAAAATAACTTCTGCAAGAGTAAGTGTTTTTTCTAAGGTGTATCAAAGATAACGTTGGGTTTTGAAAGCTGCACAAGCAGTTTTT